CTGTGTCTCCCTCTCTCTCTGCCCCTCCCCTGCTCGCATGCTCTTTCTCTCTCAAAAATAAATAAGCATTAAAAAAAAAATCTAAAACATTGTAAAGAGAAAACCCATATGCAAAGACTGGAAGACAGGCCAAAGTGCCCTCTTAAAAATATCTGCTTAATTACTTATTGATCATTTACCTCAGTTATCACTGATCACGTGGGGCCTAGAATTCCACAGAGCTCCCCAAAGGTGTTTCATGCAGGGTAGATACCTTGAGATTGAAATTCTGATTGCTGGTTTGGCTCCACTGCTTAACTCTACCAGGATAGGGGACCCCTTTGCAATAACATTTGTTTTTGTTTTTTAAATTTTATTTATTTTTGAGAGAGAGCGCGTGAGTGGGGGAGGTGCACACAGAGGGGGCGGGCAGAGGATCCAAAGGGGCTCCATGCTGACAGCAGAGAGTTAAACTCACAAACCGTGAGATCACAACCTGTGCCAAAATTGGACACCCAACTGACTGAGCCACCCAGGCGCCCCCACTGTATTAACCTTTGTGTATCTGTCCCTCAACCTAGGAGCCTCTAGCATTGACTAGATACTGAAGTATTTGTTGACATGAAGGGAATAAAAGCAGGTTAACAAGTATTTACTGTGTGTCATTATCTCTTTAATCTTCACCCTCTATAAAGTAGGTGCTGTTATCCCACTTTACGAATGAAGAACTGAGACAGAAAGGTCAACTGGCAGAGGTCATTCGGGTGAAAGGCAATATAACTTGAGCTTGTTTGTTTAATCATGGTACTACTGTACCATCATTCTGTCTTTGTCAAGGGAAGGGCAATGCCCTGCACAGATAGAGGTCTCAGTTTGAATTACTGCTGTCAAAGGAGTTAAAACAAAGTTTTTTAGAAACTGATTTATATTACGTCTTCTGTTTTTCTTAGAGACAAGGAGTTCAGGGTATTAAATAAGGGCTATTAAAAAGGTATTAAGGCTATTAACTAATTACTAAAGACTATTAAAGAGTATTAAAAAATATATCTACAAGGATGCCAAAAAGATGCCCCATCATTCAGCCTCAGGAGCCTTTGTAGTTCTAGGGTTCAAGAAGAATCGTAGCTCCAAGACAGGCTATTTCCGCAGCAAAATGAAAAGTCTTCACAGCTTATTTCCTTTAATTACATCATAAAACAAAATTAGAACATACAGGAAACAATAATAGTTACATAACAATTTACTTTATATATTTATATATAAAAAAAACATTTTTCTTTTAGTCCAAAGATTTTAAAGCAAAAGGAATCCTTACTGCCACCTCGGATTTTATTTTAAATAACCCTCCCTCCCCCCATCCTCAAGCGCCAAAAGTATTGGGTGCAAACAGTCACTTGGACAGCTAATGGGACCTGGTGTTAAGTCACCAAGTAGGGAACTGTGTCAGCCGCACTGGGGCAGGCCCGGTGGAGAAACCAGCAGCAGCTCCTGCACACTGAAGCGCTCCAGGGTAGGCCGAATGGCTGCCCAAGGCTTAGGCCACAGCAATGTTTGGGATCAGATCCTGCCAGTCAACCATCCTCTGCCTTTTGTCCCCTCAGAGAGAGGTTTCAGAGGGGGTTATAGTGTAGGGATGGAACAGCCTGGTTTGAAGGTAAAAATTTCTCCCGCAGCACCATTTACCCACCCATCTCTGTCCTCAGGCAGAGTCTGACAGGCAGGGATAGTCCTCACAGCTCTCTGAGCTCTGCACAGGTCTGTGCTCTCAGGGTCACCGGGAGGTGGGCAAGGGTGAGGAGAGCAGCTGGGAAATGCCTGAGGCAGGTTACCTGGAAACAGCTCCTGGTAGGAAAAAGGAGGTGGCCAGGGTGGGAGGCAGCTGAAGGTTTAGTCTTAAAACTTGGAGAAAGGCAAAATGCAGAAGGCCTTTCTCCCCCTCCAGTAACCCTTGAGCCTGGGCAGTCACAGATCCTCAGGGGCCAGCTCTGAGAGCTGCAGCATGGTAAGAAAACACACTAGTAGCTTCTGCTGAGCCCCACCCCACAGATCTTGTGCATGTTAGAGGTTAGCATGTAGTTTGGGGGTAAGGTGAGGAGGGGAGTAAGAGAAGAAATCTCAGGCTCACCTCTTCCTGCACTTATTAGAAATTAACAGTCATCAGAGAAGCACAGGTAAGAAATTATTAAGGGAAGGAAAAAACATGTAAACCCAGAAAAGTAGCAGCAAAGGTTTCACTTATTACAGATCTATTATATAGCACTAGGAAAGAAAGTCATTCACGTCTTTGGGGGTGGGGGCAGGTAAAGTAATTAATCAAACCATGCCAGTTAGAGACTCCTTCTCAAGTTAAGATTTTCTAAGACTTTCGGTTGTCGTTCGCTAGTGCCAGGGGAAAAAAGAAAAACAAAACAGTGACTTCAGGGGCTGAGAAGGGTTAGGCGAAGGTAAGAAACACGTGTGTGAGCAGCAGTGCGATACAGATTTGAATTAGTAAAAGTAAGTAGTAAGCAACAGTGACAAGTGAAACTTTGTGGGGCAAAGTTTTCTTCTTCCACTTTAATAAAATACACGTAACTTCAAAGATTTCCCTGCGTTCCTGGGGTATGCGGGTGAACACCTTTCTTCTCCCATCTCTTCTTAGGGTGGGGATTCTCAATTACTGGCTACCCACTCTCACCACGGTGAAAACCATGCCCAGAAGCACTGGAGGTTCTTTCAGGGATGCCAATCCCCATCTGGAGGACTCTGGTTAGGTGCGTGGAAAACAGAAGCCCTCCTTGCCAGTAAGAAGGGCATGCAGTTCATTGAATGGAGAGGAAAGTAAATCTACTCACATGTGTGAGGCAGGATAGATGCTTGTACCTGAAGCAAAGTGCCCCAGTTCCAGACCTGAATGAGTCTTATCTACCATTTTCCCACCCCAGTTCTTCAAAACAAGAAACTTTTTGAAAAACATAGAAAATAGAGTCAGTTGATAGTTTTGGTTGTTCATGGTTCTTTTTCCTAAAAGGGCAGTGAAACATCTTGGCTGAGGAAGCACAGAGACAACACTTTTGAACCAAACTCCACTAAGGGCTTATTCAAAAAAACATAAGGCAGAGATGGAATAAACACATTACAGAATTTCTCTTAATATCCTACATGTGAAGTTGTCCAACAAATTTTTTTCTGCTGAAAATTAAGTGTAACTCTGTTGGGCTCCAAAGATTTACTCAGACTCAGGTGAGAGGTTCTTACTGACTTTCCTAAGAAGGGCCAAAGCCTTCAGAGATGGAGAGCTGACATCCTAAGAATGAAAATGGACAAACAGGTAGACTTGCCTTGTGAGGGGAGCTGCAGAAGCTCTTCATGCAGAAAACTCACTTGCCTCAAATGGTAGTTCCTGGCAGGGAGAGTTTGTATGAAGTGAGAGGGCAAGCTTAGAGCGGCATGTTCTTTGCTGGAGAACCAGATGTTAAGTTAGGGCACCTGAATACAGCAGGTACAGCCAGATGTTATTCCCAAATTACCTGGGTTAATTATACCCTACTGATATGGTCTTACATAGTTTTCTCTATCTTCCAATATTACAATTAAAATTTAGGATAGAAATAAAGCTGAGGAAAGGCTTAGATTCCATATTTCCCCTCATCCTCCTACTGCTTTGAGAATCTTTGGTTCAAGATCATTGTAAGGGGGAGGGTTGCCTCCAGACCTCCAACCAAATATCCTTCACCTCTTCTCAAACAAGACTCCACTAACTCACACTGCCTGGGTTTGAGGTGATTAAAGATCCTAGAACTGGTGGGCAGATAGGAAGGCAATCTCTTAAAAAACTGTTCCATAAGCTCAAAGCATACCACTGAAAGAATCCGTCAGCCAGGATGCGCAATGGGGCTAGAAACCTAATCTTAAACCATGCACACAAGGAGGGAAAGGCAGAACAGACCCATTTCCTTTAAGCCCCTCCTCTCTCACTGATAGCAACTGTCATATGCAGTTTGAAACTTTCAGCACAATAAACATTAAATGGCCAAGGGTCAACCATGATCCACAAGTGTTCCTCTTCTCCAAAACCACAGTCACCCAAGGATATGCTGCCCACACAAGCAGGCAGGAAGTCCCCTCTTCCTTCCGATGCTACTCTCACACTTCCCTACAATTTCAGACCTGGACAAGTTCCACTGCACACCTTGTTTAGTGCCCCCCACCCCCACCCCACCAGGGCATTAGTGGGCTATCAAACTGGTAACAATGTATTTTACAAGACAATTAGGAGAAATAAAAGAACTTGACTGCTGTAGTATTATAGCTGTATTGAACAGTTCAAATGGTTTGGAGAGCCCCAAATAAAGCATCATAAAAATATTTGCCAGGTTTCCCTCTAAAATATGTGATATAAGGAATATGTAAAATTTCTGACTCATAGGTCTGCTAAATCAACGTAATGAATGTGGAAATTTACAAAGACCATTTAAGAAATACTTTTACATCCACTAAAGAGCAGACTAGGAAGAGACAACATTTTTTACAAAGAGCACAATGTGCTTTCATATTCCAAATATTAGGGGGAAAAAAGATGAAGCCAGATCTCCTTAATTCCTCATATCCAACAGTTTGATTTCAAATTTGGTGAGCAAATGTCCGAGACAACCCAGTGAAAAATGGCCTGAGGCACACGACAGTTACTGAATTCAAGGCTGCCCAGGAGACTTTGCCTAGATCAGGACAAGGACCCAAAGAGGAAGCTAGACTGGAGACAACTGAGGATAAATCAGCAGCATTGTTGGGAATGAGATGGAGGCTTTAAATAGAAGGATGGGTATCAGAAGAAAATGGGAGAAGTCAAAGCAAAAAAAAAAAAAAAAAAAAAAAAAAAAAAAAGGCTGGAATCAGGCAGACAGGAAGTCCCTTCTTGATGGAGCCAATGTAGAGGCTATAAAAGATACTGATGTAGCAAATAATGCTGGAAAAAGGGGGGAAAGGCTGCTTTAAAAAGAGATGATCTGGGTGTTTAATAATGTTAATAATGTTCTCCACACAGACAATGATTAATTCCTCCTGGCTACCTGCAGGTTTATGCAATAGCTTTGAGGGTACCTTCTGACTTATCCCAAATCTCTCCATTCACTCTGAATTTTTTTTCATCATAGAAGGCATAAAGTTCAGGGACTTGGGAGTCAGATAAATGGACCAATAAGCTGTTCCTAGGGAGAGGTTTTCCTAGACCTCTGAAGCCTTACTAAATTTTCAAAAGTGTCCCTGATATTGAGACAGGAAGCACTATGTTCAGATGGCAGAACCGTTTCCACTTATCCAAAACTTACCATGTTCTGGATTCTCAAAGTCCTGGTACATTTCATCAGCTGGTTATAGGTTGCAGACTGGCATAAAAAATATATTTCCTCCCAACCTTGATGGGCCTGAAGTTTTCTTGGAAAGGAACAAGGCCTGACCACATACAAGCCAGTGCTGCACACTCCTTTTTCCTCTCACTTGATTGTTCTTGGCCCAGACGGGTAGGGATCACCCATGCAAGTCCCCAGGGACTTGCACGTGGGTACACTTTTTGGGTTGAGAAACGGCATTTCCAAGCTGTTCATGTTTTGGTGAATAGGGTGTTTTAAACTTATGTACTTTTTAAGTAAAGAGGTATTAATAGTCTCAACTAGCGGGCACTTTAAATCCATACTCACTAATCAATCAGTGTTTTACGGTCAATTTGTTCAGGTAATACAAAAAAAAACCAAACAAACCATAATATGTTAGAGCAGATGGTCTCTAAATATTTTTCTTTTTACTTTTGTTTTGAATGAGTGACCTGGGGATCTGAATATTATTAACCATATCTGGAAGTGTGCGTGCATATGTGTGTATCTGTATGGATGGAGTATAACAATGAGTCTCATTTTAAAAAGTATATTCCTATGTTGACTACGCTCAAAAAAAATTTTCAAGTATATTCCTCATATGATAATTTGAAAAGAAGATAAAGGGAAGGGGAAATGAAGAAATCTGAGCCTTTAAAAGGGCATAACAAAGTAGGATTTAAATAAATTTAACATGCAGGAGTGTCTGGATGGCTCAGTTGGTTAAGCGTCCGACTCTTGATTTTGGCTCAGGACATGATCTCATGATTCATGAGACTGAGCCCAGGGTTGGGCTCTGTGCTGACAGCACGGAACCTGCTTGGGACTCTCTCTCTGCCTCTCCCAAAATAAATAAATAGACATTAAAAAAATTTTTAAATAAAATAAATTTAACATGCAAGATAATGGTGAATCATACAGATTTCTAGGACCCTTTCATCTGATTGCTTTTGGAGAAAGAAGTTCTACTTTATTCTTACATATGCTGGTAGAGCCAGCACCTGCAGCATTACAACAAGACTTATAACAGTCTAGGTCATGCAGAAGATGATCTAAGATCATGGCAGACTGCGCGATAATGTCCTAAAAGACCCCCCCCCCCCAAAAAAAAGTCC